CTGTCCTGTTACGGCCATGGAGGCCGTTCATGAACTCACTGTCTGTCCTGCCACGACCAAGGAGGCCATTCATGAACTCACATTCTGTCCTGTCACAGCCATGGAGGCCATTCAAGAACTCTCTACTTGGGCCGTCTCAGGCAAGTGGTCTGTCCATGTCTCTGCACCGCCATGGCTTCCTGCTCTGCCTGCACCTCCATGGCTGCCCGTTCTGCCTGCTCCGCCACGGCTCTCCGCTCTGCCTGCTCCGCCACGGCTCCCCGCTCTGCCTGCTCCGCCATGGCTCCCCGCTCTGCCTGCTCCGCTTCATGGGCCTAGCCCTCCATCCCTCCCCCAGTTCCACCTCCACTCCACCACCCTCCTGGACTTGTTGGGTTTTGTTTGTGTTTGTTTGGGTGTCTGGATCCGCCCTTAGAGGGGGGGATATGTAACGTGGTGTTTTGGGTTGTGTTTCTTGTTCATGGTTTCATGTCTTTTATTTTGTAATTGTTTCACCCTGTTAGTGTCTTGCTTCCCTTGCCCTCATGTATCTCTGCCTTGTGTATGTGTCATGTTCTGATTGGTTGTCTTAGTCATGTGTCTTGTTTCTCATTGGTTTGTTCTTGTCTTGTGACCCTCCTTGCCTGCTATAAGTAGCCATCATGTTCCCATTGTGCCTGGTCGTGTATTGATGTTGTAGCCCTACAATGTCATTGTAGGGCTACAACATCAGTATTGATGTTGAGTCTAGTCTGTTATGCCTCGTCAAGTCTGTTCATGCCTAGTCAAGTCTGTTCATGCCTCGTCAAGTCAAGTCTGTGTCTCTAGACTTCGTCTGTTTGGATTATGTTTGGATATTTGAATTTCACTTTGTTTTGAATAAATTGCACTTGGGTTCTTCACTACGCTCGCCTTCAGTGGACTAATTCCCTCCATCCCTCCCCCAGTTCCACCTCCACTCCACCACCCTCCTGGACTTGTTGGGTTTTGTTTGTGTTTGTTTGGGTGTCTGGATCCGCCCTTAGAGGGGGGGATATGTAACGTGGTGTTTTGGGTTGTGTTTCTTGTTCATGGTTTCATGTCTTTTATTTTGTAATTGTTTCACCCTGTTAGTGTCTTGCTTCCCTTGCCCTCATGTATCTCTGCCTTGTGTATGTGTCATGTTCTGATTGGTTGTCTTAGTCATGTGTCTTGTTTCTCATTGGTTTGTTCTTGTCTTGTGACCCTCCTTGCCTGCTATAAGTAGCCATCATGTTCCCATTGTGCCTGGTCGTGTATTGATGTTGTAGCCCTACAATGTCATTGTAGGGCTACAACATCAGTATTGATGTTGAGTCTAGTCTGTTATGCCTCGTCAAGTCTGTTCATGCCTAGTCAAGTCTGTTCATGCCTCGTCAAGTCAAGTCTGTGTCTCTAGACTTCGTCTGTTTGGATTATGTTTGGATATTTGATTGTGACCCTCCTTGCCTGCTATAAGTAGCCATCATGTTCCCATTGTGCCTGGTCGTGTATTGATGTTGAGTCTAGTCTGTTATGCCTCGTCAAGTCTGTTCATGCCTAGTCAAGTCTGTTCATGCCTCGTCAAGTCAAGTCTGTGTCTCTAGACTTCGTCTGTTTGGATTATGTTTGGATATTTGAATTTCACTTTGTTTTGAATAAATTGCACTTGGGTTCTTCACTACGCTCGCCTTCAGTGGACTAATTTGTTACAGACACAAGCTAATTTTCATTTTTGGGTGAACTAACCCTTTAAATCAACATTAAGCTGACTCAAAGTGCATAAATGAAACTTTTGTCTGCTGTATAATTTCTTATAGCTGAACTGAACTACTTTTATTTGTAAAAATTAACTTTACAAAGTTATTGAACTGAACCAACACTAAATTACTATTGTCTTTTTTTTTTTAGAGCTAAAGTGTTTCATTAAATTAAACAATGTTTTTGGTACAATTTATGTTTGCCTTTTCCTGTAAAATCTACTCAATGTATTTACATCCTGTAATTACCTACTTTTTTATAAAGTGTTTCATTGTTGCTGGCTTAAAAGGATCAGTTTAGATTTTTTTTCAAGTTTTGAATGATTTCATGTTTTATTAATATTAATGTTCCATTCAAGCTTTTAGAGCAATCTAGTCTATATAATGTTTGTCAGCTCTATTTTAAATATTTCTATAGCTAGATTTGGCTAGATGACCCATTTTGAAAAAGGTATCGACCCACTTAATGAACTGATCCAGATCGGATCCATGCCGGATGAGTTGCTTCATGAACAGGTCCAGATCGGATGAGCTACTTTATGAACAATTTCGAACCGGATTTGTGCATGTTGGGTGGTCATATTAACTCATTTTAATATATGAATTACCTTTGAGACACTGTGCTTACTACATTAACCTGCTCATTGATACCCCCCTTTTGTCCTAAGTTACTTTATTGTGGACCGTCACCAATCTCAAATACATTCCCGGATAAATTGTACAAATTGTATGTTATGTTTACTTTAACCTGCTGCTCTCTCACTTGGGATTTTAATATGGATATGACTGTATAAATTGTATATTTGTATTAACAAACTTTGTGTGGTTGAGTGTCTTCTTGGCTATTGATGCCCATATAAATTATTTTGTCCAGTAAAGGACCGGTTGGCCTCCTCCCTTGTTTGGGATTGTTACACTACAGTTATTGTTAACAAAAGATACATTATGCTGTTTCATGTAGGTTAACACATTTAAAACGTATAAATAGCACATTTAAAACTATCTGTACCAGACAAAGTAATATTGACACATGATAAAAACACTGTTACTCACACTTGTTGGATCCAATATAGTCGACACATCATCATCTTTTAATTTCAATCTCTCTGAAAATCTTGCTACTTTATTTACCTACTACATGCACAAATCTGCATTGATCTTTTGCTGCACTATGATGTTATAATGTGAGAATTTCCAAAACGAGTCGTTCTGGCAGCTTGGCTTCAATATAAGTTGTTTTTAGACGAACAAGAAAGTTAACTTACAGTATGTTTTTAATAGTGCCTTTATATTACCTTTTGACCTCTAATATGTCAAGTGATCAAGGAAAATGTGATTTCCCAATTCATGACCCATTTAAAAGATGAATGTGAACTGTTATGGACATCAAGCTATCATGGCAATATGTATCATTCATTTTTAAATATATTCCTTGTTACCTATACTACATTGAACATTTTACAGTGTTCTGTAACGACTCTTATTCTGCCGGTTTTACCAATCAGATAAAAAGGGACATTTCAGTGCCGCCCACATGAATGAACGAAATATGGAAGCCATAAACTGATTTGTAAAACTGAAACCTAATTTTTCGTTTGTTAAACTAAACAGAAAAAATTAAAACAAGCCATCTTTCCAGTTCTCATTATTCTAATTTCAGATAGGATATCAAATGTGTAAAACATACATGGACCATTAACTCTTCTGAATCATGTTTCTCTCTTTTTTTCCACCCAAGGCGAGCATTCTATCCAAACACTGGACACACTTTGGGATGAATATTAAACTACAATCTGGCTCACCAACATTTTACACTTAATCTGTGACCATGAGCACCATCTGAATTCTATCACTAAATATTTTTAAACTGAAGGAAATTGTGTGCTTGGACATACAGTGATGCATCCACTCACCTGGAGGTTGAAGTTTGGTAGCAGTGATCGGAAAAACAAAGATAATGTGCTTTCATTTGAGGCCCCCATGTTCTGCCTGAAAACAGACATTTACACATTTTACAATTTAAAGGGTAAAAGTAAAAAAAGAATGATTTTAAAATCAATATGGTCAAACCTGAAAAATTGTATTTACTAGAAAGAAAGGCTGGACTATGTTAACATCATTTCACGCTGCACTGACAGACACATACCAACGCAAACAGTCACTATATTACTGGACATGACTTCTCAGACATTCCACTACCCGATAAACCACATTCAACATATTCAATCGGTAAAAACAAGCTCTGACTAAGGGTGTTCTATTTCAGATCAGTCAACGCCAACTCTCAGCTCCCACCATATGATTCTATCAACTCATCAACTCCATTTACTTCACATCAAAAAGGGGCCAAAAATAATACAAGATTGCAGTCGTTATTACACACTTAATTTTTTTCCCGACATGATGCCGCTTTATTCAAATGACACACTTTTAGCCTGACTGCCCAAATTAATCCAATTTAGCAATAACATTACCTTGAAATTATCAACATCATGAGCTGTTGCCAATACTTAATTTTACTGAAGGAAAAGTCACGAGAAACAGCCATGGTCGGATATTAGGTCAGAATTAAATGTGAAAAAAGATATTCTTTAATTAACACATCTGATTATAATAGTCGGGTGATGGAGCTAAACACACGTGATCATTGTCTTAAAAAGCATTAAAATATATAAAAAATAAATACAGTATGTACAAAATACAATAATGTACACTTATGGTTAGTTTAATGAACACCGAGGTTAACCATGGAATATTAGATGCATGTTTATTGGATTAATATCATAAACATCAATTAAATTACCAAGCTGGCACGGAGTTATGTATAATTACTAAAGTCACTATGACTGTTATTTACTTCTAATAGTTGTTTCTGTGACAGCTCAGAGTCTCTGATGCACAGTGCATAATACAACAGTTTTCAAATTCCTCCCTTGATTTCATTCACTCCTTGCTGATATAGTGCACTCAACTGCCAATGCACTATATGGCGATTAAAGAATCAGTGAAAAAGTGAGCGATTTTGGACACAGTAACAGACTTGACAATGAGAGAGTCAACCCCGACTATAGAACTATTCAGAGTCAAGGAATCAACTCTTTTGGAGTCGACTCTCCATCACTAGTCTCGACCATGCCAACAAGGGTAGTAACACTGACAAAAACCCGAATAAAGTTTCTGTTGCCGTTTGTCGGTGTCTGTCTGTGCAGTGTGAATTTATTGATCTACTGAACATTCTGCTCTATTATTCATTTCTAGCAGTAACCTAGTGCTTTCAAGCTATGACCACCAAATTTCAAAACAAGCTAGCAACTAGGGCTGTGCAAAAAATAGAATGCGATTTTCATGCGCATCTCGTCAGTAAAGCCGCTTCTGGTGATTAGTAGTAAATCTCCAGCACGTGCTTTCAGACGGAGCGGCATTTTACTACAAGCTACGCAAAATCACATTCAAAATCGCAGGCGATTCATTGCCAATTATGAATGCAATTTTGTGTAGCTTGTCAGATTAAATTTTTTGCACAGACTTACTAGCAACATTCTAAAACACGTTAGCAATTTTTTCATTGTATACTGTATACAGAGTATACTGATACCAATCCCATACTATAGCACACTTTTTTTTTTTAAACCGATGTAGAATTTTTATACCTCTGTGATCATCTGATCATCACTCTTTTGTCTGTTAAACACAATCTACTAAATATAGACAACTGCATTATAAAGAAAAATAACAAATAAAAAATATATAATCATAATCTATAATAAAAAATACTATTATAAACTAGGTTAGTGGATAATTCAGCAGCAAAAAGCCGCTTCTGGTGATTAGTAGTAAATCTCCAGCACGTGCTTTCAGACGGAGCGGCATTTTACTACAAGCTACGCAAAATCACATTCAAAATCGCAGGCGATTCATTGCCAATTATGAATGCAATTTTGTGTAGCTTGTCAGATTAAATTTTTTGCACAGCCTTACTAGCAACATTCTAAAACACGTTAGCAATTTTTTCATTGTATACTGTATACAGAGTATACTGATACCAATCCCATACTATAGCACACTTTTTTTTTAAACCGATGTAGAATTTTTATACCTCTGTGATCATCTGATCATCACTCTTTTGTCTGTTAAACACAATCTACTAAATATAGACAACTGCATTATAAAGAAAAATAACAAATAAAAAATATATAATCATAATCTATAATAAAAAATACTATTATAAACTAGGTTAGTGGATAATTCAGCAGCAAACGTTACTCTACAAAAAAAACATGAGTGCACAATAATTGTATAAAATCTAAACACAGTGAAAAAACATTATTTAGTGGGGAACAAATAAAAGTATTTTACAACAATACAAAGAGCAATGTGTAACATTTTACCAGATTTAGTCCTACACTTATTCACATTCATGAAAAACAAGTAAATATATTTCTATATAAATATTTACTATAAAATTTAAAGATTTTCTTTAAAGTATAGCCCAGTAATCAGGCAGCTACATATGATAAATAGGACAGAACAAGAAAGGCTATTAATTTTTCATTATGCAAAAGTACTATAATATGAAAGGCTCCAATACAGAGCGCATCCCATGCGCAGAATGATGCACTTGAAGCAACATGGAGTCACAATGTGCAGCGCTCTGCATAGAAAAGTTTAAAGCACAAAGGGAAGAGATATTGATGCGTAGTGTATTATATCTGTGCAATAGTTTATTGAGCCTTTTCTTTTAACAGTTTTAAATTTCACTTACTGTGCGAGTGAAGAACAATTCATAATGCTCTCTACTCCAGTGCTGTGATCTAACAGACACCTGGAAAGTAACATGATTTAGCCATGGTACTAAACTCCATCAAGATAAAGTCCTTTTATGCAAAACCATTGATCTTTATCTACAGATCAAGTATAATAATATGAACACTGAATCATCTTGGAGACTTTCATCGTCTTGACTGTTGTAACCAAACGCAACAAGCAGTTTGAATGCTGAATGGAGGATCAGACAGCCGCAGCGGAGAGAACAGTTCATGTGAACTTGAATTTAATGACTTAAATATTCATCTGTACCTTACATTAAACTATGGAATGCTTCAGAAGACTTGGAATATAGTGCATGGAAATTGTATGGTGCTTTCTAATGTTTTTGTGCCTTACGTGGGGCTTTACAATAACACAATAGTATACGTCCAATATCGGATTTGGATCGTTCTCGTCTGACCGATACCCGATCCGGCAGAAAATGGCAGTATCGGAGCCAATACCGATACGGAGTATCTGATCTGTGCATCCCTAATCACATCGTTGCGGTCCAAATGCATCCATTCATGGCAACTGTGTTCCTTGCCAATGATAGCTGTTACCAACAGGATAATACACCATGCCACACTGCCAGAATTGTCAAGGTTCGAGGTGAATTTCCACATGATGGTGAATTTCTGTTAAAACCTTGGCCTCCAAATTCACCTGACATGAACCCAAATGAAAAGCAGGTTCGCTCTACATCGCCACCACCCCCGCAATGTATGGGACCTGGAGGACCTGCTGTTGACATTATGGTACCAGATACCCCAAGAGACCCCTTTTTGAATCAATGACTCAACACATGCTTTGTGGGCTAAAGGAGGTCCTACAGGTTATTAGATAGGTGGTCATAATATAATGACTCATCAGTGTATATCAATGTAACTGAAAAAATGTCAGATCAATTTCATTTATCTTTCTTTAATACTATAAAATTAACAAAACTCATAAGAAACAAACAGAAACCTTTTAAGACAAAAGAGAAAAAAATTGCCTGGTTGCATAAATGTGCACACCCTTTTAGTATGACATGGTACAAGACAAAAGGCATGGATGGTTGCATTTGTTTTCAGGAGAAGAATAACAGGAACATTTTGGAATGGACCATTAAGAGATTTAAAAAAAAAAAACACCTATGATAGTCCAGGTGATATGTGCAAGATGTGAGGTGATATGCTCACTTTTTCATAAAAGCATGAAACTTGGTACACTTGTACAACTTGGGGCCCTGAACATTTTCAGAAATGGAGTCATCGCAAAAATGCCTCGTGGTTGCCATTTTACTTTCCGCCATTAACAAATTATGTATTTTGTGTCATATCTCCTGAATCAAACATAACACAGAAAAGGTGATGCCTACTCATATATTTTGATGGTCAATTACAATGATACCAAATACAACAACATAAACTGTTTGGGTGAAAAGTGACGTAAGAAGGAAATCACAGTATCTCAGTATCTACAATAGTCTGTATTATGGCTATTTATTTTCTCTTTCTTTGATAACTGACTAATATTTTATTCAGTAATACAATAAAATATTGTTTTCAAGAATACAATCATATATTTCAGCGACTAAAAAAAAACAAAAAACACCTTGCTTATCTCAGGCAGAATCAGGTAGGCAGTTGTGCGTAAGTGTTTGCTTAATACCTCGTTTCGGTTTCTGTTGTTTAGATTTTTATTTGCTGTTAAGAAGGGTTAATTAATTTACTATTTATATTTTTCTTCTTTCGTTATAATTTGTATTTTGATTTCACATATTTTTTAATTAGAATAATAGCCATCGGCTAAGAAGAAGCTTTTGGTATTTGTATTGCTTGTTTATTGCACTTAAGTGGTGAACAGTCCCGCAGTAGTTTCGAGTTGAGCCATTTCCGTGCTATAGGCTTTTGGTGTGCTAATTGTCAAGGTGTCCACAGCTGTATTCACTCAAGAGTTGATAAGCTGTGCATTTATTTGTTATCTGTGCACTGACATGGAATACCTGTGACCTTCTTTTTCCCACGTCTATCATGTGTTTCCAATACATTCCTGTTTTCGCTCAACAACGCTCTAATATCAAACGCAGATAGCAATGCAATCTTGCTAACCTTCGTCCTATCTACACCTCTTCTACTGCACCCGTCTCTTTTTTCCTGTGGGTCTCTGGAATTGTCAGTCAGCTCTCAACAATTACT